AGTCTCTGCAGGGCAGGGACCCTGTCTTCATCTTCATCTCCCCCACCAGCAGTCCCCAACCGTTTTGGCACTAGGGACGGACTGGTGGGGGTGGGGCCCATGGGATGGTTTTGGGATACTTCAGACACAGAGCTTTCAAGCTCACCTCCTACTGTATGGCCTGGTTTCTAACAGGCCCAGGCTGGTACTGGCCCACGACCCAGAGGTTGGGGACCCCTGTCCCCCACACCTAACACAGAGCTGTCATCCTTGGGTGAAACACACATATACATTCTCATTTCCACATGCCCGTGTTTCTGTGTGCAAGAGACCTGTGCAAGGGGCATGTCTCTGCCCCCCTCCCTGCTGTGTGTTTGGGCACATGTTGAATGCACAATGAGCCGTGTGTCCTGGTGTCTCAGACCGTGCGGGCCCGTGAGTGCAGGCTGGAATACCTGTGTCTGTGGGTGCGTGAACGTATGCGTGCTTTCCTTCCCTCCCCCACCAGCTTCCCCACCCTCTACTCCTCTGGTCACAGAGACGTTTCCCCTCACAGGTGGGAGAGATTAATCATGGGGACAAAGTCAAAGATGGCAAATCTTATAGTTTCTCCCAAGAAGGCTTCTTTCTCCCCACTCCCTCTCTTTTTTGCTCTCTTCTTCCTTCCTCTTCCTATTTCACTTCTCTCCCCTCACCCCTCTGGGAGGAAGCTCATCTGAGCCCATCCTTTGCTGACATGGCCATTTGGGCCCATTAGCTGCCTTCTAATGAGTGACTGCCTTCTCTGCCCCTTCCCCCACCCCGACTGGGAGGGTGGGATCAATTAGCTGCTGCACACACACATGCACACACACCCTTAAATGTGTACTCATGCTCCTGTGTACAAATGTAAGCTTCATGTTTACATGTATAACATACATGCGTCCTTTCTTCTTGACCAGTAATACCCTTTTAAGGGTCCTTACTTTCTATAGTTCCCAAGACCCCCAGAGAGAGAGCCTGCTTAATTTAACAAGCAGGACACACACTGCCACGTCTATTCACCCCAGCTCATTCCCAGATTCCCATGATGTTAACTTGGGCCCAACTCTCATATTTTATAGGTGGACAAACTGAGGCTCAGAGTGGGGAAGTGACTTGTCCAAGGTCCTTCAGTTAGAAATTAAGCTGGGAATAGTCTCCTGTCCTCACATTCCCAGTTCGACACTGTTGCTACCCACAGGTAGAAATGTGGTTCAGACAAAGGCCTGCCCTGCACTCACCAGAGCTGTGGGTGTGGGGTTCAGAAGGAGTAAGTTCACGCTGAGACGTGACAGGATCGTAGGGAGGCTCTGCCGTGTGCAAAGGAAGGAGAGGGTGAGCTCTGGGGGAGGTCCACCTTGTCCCACAGAGTCACCTTGGCCCAGAGACTGTGGAGAGGTGGCTCCAGGCTCAGTCCCTCCTCTGGCTCTTGCAAGCCTCACCTTGGTTTTCCCTCTCTCCATGGAGTCTGACCTTAGGGATCCCCAATGCAAGCTCTGTCTTGCTCAGATGAGAAAGGGACATCTTGCGGAGGACTCTGGTCCGAAGGGTGTCCCCTGAGGACTAAGGAACGGTGGGCCCTAGCCTGGGCCTCCCCAGGCCCATTCTCCAGATTCTGGATAAGGACAGGAAAAGTGAGGGCTGTGTCACAGGCCTGAGGCATGTGGGACCCGGGAGGGACAGCCCAGGCCACCTGGGTCACAGTACCCTGGCACCACTGTGTCGAGCTACTTGGGACAGTCTCAGCAGCTGGGATCATGGGTAAACCTTGGCAGTCCATGTCTCCTGAAGCCCTGGTCCTGCACGCTCTGTGTGACAGAAGGCTTGAGGACAGTCTGGGAGTCCTCGTGAGAGCTGTGGTAGGGGGACGTCACAGAAAGCTCACCCAGGAGGCAGGGGCTTCCACAGCAACCCCTCACGTCCAGGAGCTAAATATAGTACAATGCTTTCCTTGCTCCTGCTCAGCATCTCCCTGAGGCAGAGGATAGAAGAGTGGGAGTCCTTATCTAAAGGTCCCTTTTCTCTGGGAGCCATAGACCCACCCCCCCTTCCTGATCTTGTGTCCTGGCTGGGAGGTGCTGTGAAGGCTGAGGCAGCCCTCCATAACCCCAAGGCCTCGGTGCAACCTGATAAGGACTCAACAGGGGCATACTGGGACCCATGCCTTGGCGGATGCTGACCCTTGTGTAGTCTCATGCAGGTTCCCAGGCCCTCTCCCTGCACTCCCCTGCATTAGGGCTCAGCCCAGCAAGTTCTCCCCTAGACTGGGTTGCCAGAGGGGATCCTTTTCCAGTGAAGCCCCTGGCCCTGCTGTAAAAGCACAGTTCTGGACCACTCCTGGGGGTGAGAGAACCTATCAGTTCAGCTGGGCCATCATGGTGCCAGCATTGGATGGAGGAGGCGATGGGTCCTGGGGCGAAGGGAGTGGAGGACGCAGGCTCCAGGTCAGGAAGCCTTGGATTGGCAACTGCGCTTCCCCACTTAATACCCGAGTGACCTCGGAGGGCTACTCCATTTGGTGAGAGTTTTTCATCTGGGTTAGAAGCCACCCACAATCTGTAGTGCATGGGCAGTTTCTGGAGCGTATACGAAGAAACCGCTCACGGTGGCTGCCTCTGGAAACGGGAATGACGGGAGGAAGGGCGGCACTCCTCAACGTGTCTTAATGTTACTACTAAGGGTATATTACTCTTATTTGAAGAAAAGAAGGGGAAAAAGCCCATATGATTTCCAGCCAAGTAGCTGAGCCTCAGCTGAGCCAGGGAGCGGCAGCCTTGGTTGCTGCCCGCTGCCGGGAAGCTGTTCCTCCTGGTCTCGGGCACTGAGTCTGGGCATGAGAGTGATTTGTAAATAAACTGCTGTACAAATGTTAGGTATGATTAACATCTGGGTAATGATATAGTTCTATGCACAGTTATAGAAATAATTATGAGATGGTTTGTCTTAAGTGCGAGTAGCTGTGTGTACACCTTTCCTTAAGGGTAATTAGGTGTGTATTATAGGCAGTGGTTAAGAGGAGAGCTCAGGAGCCATGCTGCCTGGGTTTGAATCCTGAACCCACTATTTACTGGAGATACCATCTTGGAGGTATGACCGCCTTAGCTAAACTTTCTGTGCCTCAGCCTTCCTATCTTTAAAACGGGGATAGTGAATGTACCTTCTCCGTAGGATCGCTGTGAAGGCTAAGTGAGCGAAGTTATGTGAAACTCTTGGAACAGCCCCTGGCACATAGTCAGTGTTCAACAATTTTTTTTCAGTTTTGTGCATCTGTATACACATGGCTGTGTTTCTCATCCCCTTAAAAGAGGGAACACTGTCTTGGCCCACCTTCCATCAGGTAGGTTGAGATGGCAGAGTCGGGGGTTCTGTGTACCCTTTCGGTCTGTTGGTCTGCGGGTCTATGGAGACCTAGGGCGCTTGAGGAGACTGGGGTTGCTCTTTCTCCAGAGTCCAGAGCCAGGGCCCCATTCTCAAAGGGACACCTGGGGAGGACAGGGGTGTCACACCTCCATCTCTCATCCCTTTCATGCTTCCAGGACACTGCTGGGGGTGGCATGCCCCAGTTGCCCCCGAGTCCCTCAGATGAAATGTCAGCTGAACCAGGAAGGAGGATTGACCTACAGAGAGTGGAGGTGGGAGAAGGAGGCCACTCTCCAGCTGGAAAGACAGGCCAGGAGGTTTCGCTGCAAGCTGAGGTCAGAGAGAAGTATGGTGAGGCAGCCTCTGGCAGCAGCCAGCCTAATTCTCCAACCTGTTCTAGAGGGGTCAGCCTGCCCTCCCACCTACTCCACTCCCAGCTCTGGCCGCCTCTCCCAGCTCTGGTGAAATGGCTGTTCCCCTAAAGAGGAGCACTGAAGGTGCCTCTTGGAGATGCTTGGTCACCAGGCAGATTGATCAGCTTTGGGAAGGGGTGGGAGGGGCGTTGACTTGGGGAAAGGACCTGGGCCTGGGATGGAGCTGACAGAGCCCGGTTACCGAAGGTGCCAAGGGGTACCAGGCTGGAGGAGTGAATCTCCCAGCCTAGGGGAAGATGAGGGAGCTGAGCCGGGCTGCCCCTCTCCCCTCCCCAGTGTAGACCCTAGGTCCTGGAGACCTGGAGAAATCAGAGGTTCTGAATCCCAAACTGGGACATGTGGAAGGCAAATGTGTGTAGAAATCACAGGGTAGAATAATTAGGAATGGGATAAATTTACTCTACCTCCTCCATGGAGCAGGAACGCAGGTAGTTATACCTGCAGGAGCAGGAGCCCAGGGGCTCACGTGCACATATGACCACACAGGCACGAGCACATGCACACACATCACCCACAGGCGTGTGCACACAGATACACATGGGCAGAAGGTCACAGGGCAGTGCTTTCTCTCTTTACAGATTAGGAAACCAGATTCTGGGAGCATAACTAGTGCCGTCATGGTCCACCTTTGGGAGGTCTCCAAAAAGAGACCCCCTTTCTCCTAAAAAGCCATCCTCAGCTAATGCCCTCCAGCCACCTACTCCCTCCCCTGTACACTTTGTCCCTCTGCAGAGAGGCTGGCCTTCCAGGGTTGCCTCACTGGTGTGCACACCTGAGGTCTGACCCACTCCAGAACTTTAGCTGGGGGGGCTCCTGGAGGGTGGGACCAAGTCTTCCCCCATCTGGGCTCTACCCCCAGGGGCATTGCCATAGAAGGGGTCACTGAGCTCCAAGAGGAGGCCCAGAAAGGTGAGCAAAAGGTGGGGAGCGGGCTGTGGAGCTGGGGGAACCTTGGAGGCACGCTGTGGTTCAGACAGGAATTTCACCAGATGCACCCAGGCAGATTCATACGCCCCTTATACACTCAGACAACCTCACCTGGAGGGGACAGGAGGAGGCAAAGAGAAAGAGAGTCCAGGGACCGTTGAAGAAGGTGAGCAGGGTGGGTCTATGTGAGGAACATGAGGGAAGGTATAGGGACCGTCTTCATGTTCAGTTGTGGGGGGTGTTTATTGAATTATAACATAAATCCAGACGGTACATAAATACATATGTACTTTATGGTTTATTATTATATGAGTGTATTGCTCAATGAATTTCCACAAAGTAGACACACCCAAGTAAACAGCATCCTGATCAAAAAAGTAGAGTGTCATCAGTACCCAGGATCCGCTTACACCCCCTTTGCAGACACAATGCCCTGTTCTGACTCCTGACACCATGGATCAATTCCGCCTGTTTTTATACTTTATGTAATTGACATTACACAGTGTGTTAACTTCTGGGTCTGGCCCTGCCTCTTAACGTCATAGTTCTGAGATCTATCTCGCTATTGTGCAGACATGTTTGTGAACGGTATTCATGCCTGGGGATGCTCACACACAAGCAGATTCTGTGTGCGTGTTTCTGACACAAGTCTGCACACCTGCACACTCACACAATCCCAAAACACACCCAGTTTCTCATGCACATGTGCACATTCTCATTGCTCTCACATATGTGGTTATCATGTGCACACATATGTGTATGTAAATCTTAAAAACATGCTTATATACACTCACACAGGTTCTCACACACAAACACATTCTCAAACACAAAGACAGACATGTTAAATGTACCTTGATTTTCAAATTCAAATGCACACTCTCACACATGCACCCTCAGCCTCTCTCACACACACAAACTCACACACATGCCCACTCTCTCACACTGATCAACCCTCAGCCTCTTTCTTAGGCTTGGGCTCTAACAGAGGAATGTGATCAAATCGACAGCTGAGAACTGTCCCAAGAGTAAAGCTGTACTTCTCTGAGAGAGCAGAGCCTTTACTGGAGGGACACAAGTGTCTGTGTGTCTGAAGGCTGTGGGAGAGGGGAAGTGGAGGGGTGGTCTCCCAGGGCGCCTGCAGCCACTGGGCTGTTTCAGTGATAAAAAATGATGAAAGGACCGGCTCAGTGAGAGCATGGCTGTGAGTAAATAAAGCTGCCACCTTTGACCCTCAGAGGCCAGGGTGCATCCCAGAATGAAAACTCATTGGGGAGGGGGATGCTCAGGCCCAGCCCGAGTTCTCCAGCACCCCCTCCATGGCCAGACTCCCAAGAGGGAGTGGGAGGGGCCTTGAGAACCTGAATGATGCTGGGGGACATGTAAAGGGAGGAGAGAGGAGTCGGGGATAAAGAAGGAGGCTGGGGACACTGGGGAGGGGGGAGGGTCGTGGGGGAGGACTGGGGACAGGGAGAAGAGCTCTGACTTCTGGCTCTCCCTCCCTGCACCTCTGTCTCTCGGCAGCTCTCCAGGCCTCTTCTGCTCCCCATCTCCGAGACAAGCATACACCCCCCTTCTCGTGTTCAAGGCTTGGTTTGCTTGTTTTTCTAATCACCAGGAACTACAAGCAAACAGGGGTTAGCAAAAATAACAAACACAGGCAAAGTACAAAGTCACCCGGAATTCCAGAAAGATTGAGAAGTGGTTGGTTCAGGCTCTGCCAGAAATGAGAGTGTTGCTGGGCCTGCCCCGCCCCCAGTGGGTCCCTCCTGAACCCCTTTCCCAGCTCAATCCTTGTAGGCACCACCCTGGCTCTGAGCAAAGCTCCACAAAGTTGGCTGCAGAGATAAATAAATGAATAAATGGGTGAATGCATGAAAGCTTTCTTGGTAATCAACCTCCCCAACTCTGTTTGGGTTCAAATTTGTGAGCAGATATGTGGGGTCGCCCTCCCTGCGGAGTCAGGAAGGCTCCTCGGCTCTCGCCAGGTTTCCTTCTCTCCTCTCCAAGGCCCCTCTGGGCTCCTCTCTCTCTAGGACTGAGGTTCACTTTGTTCTGTAGTCACTGTGGCTCTTAAAGGTTTACCTGGTCCCAACCCCAGGAGAAGAAAGTGCTTTGCCACCTGGCTTTCAAAGAGCCATGCCCTGCATGTCCCTCCATCCTGCACAGACCTGGTGGTCACTGCCTTTGACCCTCTGGGGGGCCACTCAGTGGCCATAAGTAGATTCTTGGAAGTCTTACCTTAGCTAAGCACAAAAGTTTTCACCAAAAGATAACGAAACTCCCACCTTTGTATGCGAGGGACATATAGGGAAGATGGCAGGAAATACAACACTCACTGCACTTCCCACTCCTGTTGCCCAGACTGTGGCAGACTTAGCAAGAAGGCTAGAGAAAGACAGTTCAAGAAAAGCATCCCTGCTTTCCTGTTAGCCTGGAGCCTCATGGTGGGAGCTGCAGTCTAGAATTGGACGGAGCCGTCACTGCAGGGAGCCAAGTGCAAGCATGCTCACAGCAGGACGAGGGGGCTGAAGGCCAGTGCTCTGCCCAGGAAGACATGGCCTGCAGTCAAGTGCCCAGAACCTGGCCCCTCCTCTCCTTATGCCCCAGTCACACAGGCTGTTTTCCTGAATCCTTGGTGGAGACTTGGCCTGGTCTTTTCCCCCGTGGGGAGGGGAAGGCTGAGCCCCATGACGGAGGAGGAAGCTGAGGCAGCTGAGCCCTGTGTGTCAGCACTGGGTTCTTGGTCTACAATGAAGACCCCCTCTTGGCCAAGGCTTTCTTGTCTTGTCAGCTGAGATAAGGGAGAAAGCCAGGTGGGCTCAGCCATAAAACCAACTGGACACCCAGAAGACATAGGTGTCCAGGAAATCAAACACTGTTTTCTACCTACTTTATTCGAATTTCCTCAACCCCGACCCAAATTATAATCAACCTTCGACTGAAGATTTACTATGGGCCACGCACTGTGCAGTGGGCTCACAGGAATTCCCTGATTTAATTTTCACAGCAATTCTGTGAATGGATGCTACCCTGATCTCCACTTTAGAGATCAGAAGATTCAGATCCAGAGAGGTTAAGTTCCTGGTCCAAGGCCACCCAGTTTATAAACAGAGGACTGAAATTGGAAACCTACAGGCAGTCCGGCTTCTCGGGAGCTGGTAGGTGTCTGAGTCTGGTTTGGGGGCAGGGAAGCCGAGGTTCAGGGCCAGATTCAAGCATCAAATTAGAAGGTAGCGAGTATTCACAGCCCTCTGTTCTGGCTGTCTCCTGCTGCTGGGTCGCCCATCCGACCTGGCACCTGGCGTGGATACAGTCCCAGCCCCTCCGCCAGCAGCACTGACTTCTTGTCTGTGTTGATGGGAAGGTGGGAGCGTGGGAGGACTCACACCCCTTCCTCCCCCATTTCACTCAACTCCTCCCTTCTCGACAACAAAAAGCGCCATCAGTTCGAAGCACCAAGCCTATACACGAATTAGAGTGTTTCATCCCTTGCTCCTTATCAAGGTCAGGAGGACACGCACTTTTTTGGAGTGGTAGTTACGAGAACATACAGTCCTCTTTGAATTTTTTACATTTAACATTGCATTGAAGCTCTGGCTGGTGTAGCTCAGTGGATTGAGTGCGGGCCTGTGAACCAAAAGATTGTGGTTCGATTCCCAGTCAGGGCACATGCCTGGGTTGCAGGCCAGTTCCCAGCAGGGGCCAGTTCCCAGCAGGGGATGCATGAGAAGCAAACCATACATTGATATTTCTCTCCTTCTCTCCTTCCTTTCCCTTCTAAAGATAAATAAATAAAAAAATTTAAAAAGGGGATGAGTCAATAAAAAAATGCAAAACCCAAACATTGCATTGTACCTATATTTCCCTGCACCGACACACCCTCTCGGTTGTTTTAATTATTAACTGTCTTGCTTTTAATTTTATATGATGTAAAATGACATTTTTTTCAAATGGCAAAGCTCTTCTCGACACCATTTATGACGAGTTACGTTTCCTTCTCCCTGTTTTCTAGCATCTATCCGAGACTCCCGGGTGGTGGGCTCTATTTCCGGGCTCTTTTCTGTCCCACTGACGTAAATGTCTGTTTTGGCGCCTACACCGCACTGTCTTCACTTTGCTGCCCTATAACAAAATGGTTTAACATCTGGTCACATTTGCTTTTCTTTAGAAAATTATTTGATATGTGTTGGTTCACTTACTTACTTCTCATGTGAAACTGGGAATCATTTTTTTCTGGTTCCAAGAAAATGTCTGGTATGATTCAGATTCGTCGGGCAGTGAGTCTGTAAATTTCCAGGGGAACATTGCCATTTTCACGATGCTTGGCATCTTGGTAGCTCCCGCTACTCCTCTGTGTCACATCTGGGAGGTGGAGGCTTGGGCTCCTCCTTGGGCTGCTGTTCCCCGCCTGGCTTAACCATTTCCCTAGTGTTGGGTGTTTGGGTTGCTTCCAAGGTTGAGCTGTTATGAATAGTGCTATTATAAACATCTTTGTACAAATTGCTTTTTTATTTCTTTGGGGTATGGTCCCAAAAGTGGGATTAACTGATCAAAGGGTGTGAACAGTGTTGTGGTTTGACCTAACCCCAGGAGAGTGGGACCAATCCACAGCACCACCAACAACATGTAAAGAAATATCTCCACCCTGGCTGGTGTGGGGCTCAATGGATTGAGTGCAGGCCTGAGAACCTAAGGGTCTTCGGTTCAATTCCCATTTGGGGCACATGCCTGGGTTGTGGGCCAGGTCCCCCAGTGTGGGGCGTGCGAGAGGCAGCCACACATTGATATTTCTTTCCCTCTCTCTCTCCTTCCCTTCTGCTCTGTCTAAAAATAAAATGTTTTAAAAAAGAAATATCTTCTTTTCCCTTAACAAACCCTTGAGCAACCTGAAGACTTTAAAGGGTAACTTGTTTCCTAAGGTAAACTAGCCACAGGCACTAGAGGGGAAGAGAGGACATCTGAGAGGCCGGGCTCTGAGGAGCACAGACCCTGCAACGAGGAGGCGAAGAGGCGGCTGCCTGTGGCTGCCCTGCTTCCTCCTCGCACTCCGGCCGCTGGATTCCCTGTTAGCTTGTGAGCCTGGTTTATTTTTATTTACTTAGCGTATGTTTAGATAGCAATGATTAGGTGTCAGGTACTATTCTAAGCACTTTACAAATATTAACTCATTCACTTCTCATAACAAGTGCATAAACTAGATCCTATTATTTACTATCATAACCATTTTACAGGTGGAGAAAGCAAGTCACAGAAGTTCGCTGTAAGCCACACGGCTAGGAGGACTGAAACTCGGCAGCCTAGCGTCAGAGTATCGGCCACTGTGCGCTCCGACAGGGCACAGTCACTGCAGCCTGTAGCTGCCCTTCTTTCTCTGGGTCCCACCTCGGTGCCAGCAGCCCCAGTCCCCGCTGGGGAACGACCTTCAACCTGCCTGCCCTGGGTTTCAGGCTTTGTCCTTTCCTCCTCACACCCCACCATCTGCTGGACCCTGCCACGTGCCAATGTGACGCTGAGCACTTCACGTCTTTCCAACTCTTTTGATCTTCACCGACATCATACAGAGTACGATAGTATATCTTCATTTTATAGAAAAGGAAACGAGGGTCAGAGAGGTTGTGTTGCCCAAGATCTCACAGCCAGTGGAGTGGCAGAGGGAGAATTTGGGTTCCATTCGAATATTAGTGCGTTTGGTCTTCTCATTATACTTGGCTCCTCTCTGGTTCCTGGAAGCCCCACACCTTACCCTAGTTCACTTCTCTTTCTCCTGATGGTTTTTCTGAATACACTGAGATGGAAAGAAACCCTTCTGGTGAAGCTCCCCTTCGCCAGGACCCAAGTAGCCACCCCTCGGGAAAGCGCCATCATTGCTTTGTGTGTTTTGGAACAGACAGTCACTCCTTGAGAGAGGCCCAAATAGCTTCTTCCTTTCCGGTTTCAAAATCTACACCCTCTGGAGCCTGCTCCTGGGCTCCTCCTTCCTGCCCTAGGATCTTCAGCTGATTTACTGAGTACAAATGATGGGCAGGTGCTGGTTCCAATGAACACCCCCCCTCAGATTTGCGCTCCTCCTTCTGCAGGTCCTCTGGGGTGACTCAGAGCTCAGGTGCTTCCGGGGAGGGCTTATCCCAGTCTTGTCATACAGTCTGTGTACAAGCCCCAGACGCCCTGAACGCACATTGTGCTCTTTATGGAGAATTCCCACTAAGCACAAAAGAAGGCACGTCTCTGATCCCTGAGAAGCTCTGGAAGATTCAGTGGCAGCATCAGCTTCTGAAACTGTGCTCGTTTACTTCTGTGTCCATGCTTCTCAGGGGCGAGAATGCAACTGCATGTCTGCACAGGTGGACCTGGGACTTCAGCGATGGGCTACTGGGCTCAGGAGTTTACGTGTGTTGTCTCTCTCTCTCCCTCCCTCTCTCTCCACGCCCCCCCATGTGTGTGTTTGAGAGTAAGGGTCTGCATGTACCTGTGAGTGGGTGCATGTGTTTGTGTGCAGACACTGTGCCAGTTGGGTAAAGGGGCTGTTTGGGAAGGTTTCCAGCAGCACTCGGGAGGGGGACTGGACAGCAGGGGTACGGTGGAGAGAAAGAGAAAAGAGAGTTGAGTAATGCTTCATAAATAAGCAAAGGGATGGTGTGGTAAGTCCGAAGTGGCAAGTTTGCAGCTTTCAGTGTCACCTGTAGCCCAGGGCAGGGGTGGCAGGTCAGGGTTGGTAAATATGTGCTGGCCTGACCAGGCCTACCCCCAGTTTTAAGGGACAAGGGACTGGAGATTATGGTAAAGCATTGCTACCCACCCTCAGCCCCACCATTTTCTGGGCCCTGGGCTCCAGCCGGTCCCTACAGACCCTATGAACTCTCTGAGGCCAAGGCAGTTTGGCCTTGGTGGAGAGGCGGGGGCAGAGGAGAGAGGCTCCAGGAGGCCTATACGGAGGACCTACCAGTGCGCCTCAGCCCTGTGCTGCTCCAAAGGCTAAGGAACCTCCTTCTAGATGCTGTTCAAAGGCTTTGCTGACTTCAGAGGGATGGAGGAAGAGGGAGGAAGGAGGAGAGAGACCTCTAAGGTAGAGAAGTTCTGCTGAGTCTGCAGGCTACCCAGCACATCCCCGGTTCCTCATTACTGTGGTCCTTGGCCATGAAATGTCTTTTTTTTTTTTTTTGAGGCCAAGAAGAATCCAGGGCTGCGTTAATGACCACCCAGCACCAGGATGAAGCATGAGGCCCGGGACTGACTCTCTTGACCTTGAAATCCTGTCTGAACTTTTCCTGCTGTGCTGACATCCTATTTTCCCAGGACTCATCTCTACTGCCTTAGCCCTGCCCTCTCCATGGGACCCTCAGAAGGAGGGAAGTCAGGGAGGCCAGGGCAAGGGTGTCTAGCACGTCCGAGGCGTTCAGAGGGTCTGGGGACTGAGCAGGTTGGACAACACTCAGTGTCAAGGACTCCCAGAGCTGCAGGACTAATGAGCATCTTACATAAATGTTAATGCCATAGCAAAGATGAATTAAGAAATTTTACATTTTTTCATTTTTATGTTGGTTCTGATAATGGCTTGATGAACTAGAAGACAGCATTCATTGTGCCTGTTTTAGTTTTGAAAAAAGGGAGGAGGCAGAGAAGTTACCTGATCCAGTCTGATTTACGTTCATAAAGCAGGGTGGCTGGGACCCCAAAGACTCCAAGTCTACAACACAAAACAATTCGATTTATAAAGCACTGTGCTCCTGACCAAAAGGACTCGTGAATGGTGCCTGGAGACTGTTGGGGAGGCAGAAACTTGAGCTGGGTTTTGAAGTAGGGCTAGAAATTTCCTTTCTTTCTTCCTCTTGTTTTTAATTTTTGTTTTTGGCAGTGGGGTTGGGTATGATCAGAGCTTTGCACCCTAAACTGCGGTGCCAGTGGGAGGGTGTGAGAGTGTTGATCTCAGCTGACACAAATGGCTAATGGTAGCCAGTGCCTGGGAGAGGGCATTACAGGTGAAGCATAAAGTAAGTTGAGGGCCTTGAATGGTGGGGTCAAGGGCTTTGATTTTCCCCATAGGCAAGGTGAGCAGGTTCTAAGCCAGGGAAGAATGTGTCCTGCATACCGTTTAGGGAAGAACTGGGCCCCTCCAGCAGCGTGGATTCCAGACTCTGAAGAGAGGGGTGGCACACCAGCTGGGACCGAACTGTTGCCCAAAGAGAAGTTAAGTGGAAGAAGTGAGGGTAGATGGTGGGGGCAGATGGTGAGGCAGCCTCTGGAGAAAGGGAGCTGCGAGCCAAGAGGCCCAGAGAGGAGGGTGGCCCTGGCAGCCCAGACAGAGCCTCAGAGCCCCGGGTTGCCATGCTGCGGCCATTCTTAGTGAACATGCCGTGTGGGCAGCCCCAGGCTCTACCTTGTGAGCTTCCTGCCTCATTGAGAGGTTATTAATAGGGAGTTTGTCTGGTGTCAGAGCGCAGACATAAACTGCATTAGCATTACCCCATAATCTTATTTAGTAAATGCTCATGCCGCTCCGTCTCCTGTAATTGCATTGGGAAGATGCAATATTTATGAAAGGGGAGAGGGGGATGTCACCGCTCATCTTGGTGATGCAGTAAAAGTCCTGGGAAATACCGTGTGGGCTGCAGAGGCCTGGCCCCCCACCTGTGAGAGTGGGCCCCAGATCACTGCCACCCACCCCAACGCCCATCCCCCTCAGGAGCCTTGGGCAGCGGGATAAAGAGGTGTGGAGGTGACAGCTACCGCTCCCCTTTGCAATACTCCTCCAGAAGTTCCTGGTCCCTGCTGGATGCACGGACCCTTCTGGAGGACACAAGGCTCCCAGCCTCGGGTTGCTCCCCGCCCTAGTCAGGTTGCTAGGGGACTTCGCCTTCACTGTGCCACTTAGGTGATTGGAGGAAGCTCAGGGGGCAGCAGATGGATGGGCTGGGGCCAGGGGTCCTGGCTGGATCAGGGTCTCAGTAGCACTATTGACCACTGAGTGATCCTCAAAGCCCATGGCAGCCCTAGATTCCCAGGGTGGCGGCCCTCTTCCACCCTCCTAGGATCACGTGGCTCACTCTGTTGGACACACCCCTAAGACAGACAGACAGACAGACAGACACACACACACACGCACACACACTTTGGGCCAGTCCCAGGCCTTTTGCTTCTGGGTGGAGGAGGTAAGAGTGTGAAATTGCCCCCAAGGGACTCAGAAGCAGGTCTGTTTGCTCACCAGTCCTGAATACCCTGGGCTCAGTTGCTAGTGGTGGGGTCTCTGGTGAGGCCACTGGAAATGTGGGCTAAGGGGAAGGCAAGTGCACAGGAAGGCACTTCCTGTGGGACCCCAGGCAGTGCCAGACTCAGCCCCTGGCTTTGGGGTGCGTGTGGCCCCCCAGAGGCAGGAGCTGGGTCTCCTTACCTACCCCATTCACACCTCACTGACACAGGGCCCCACAGTCTACACTCAAACCACATTCACACCGGCACATGCCCAAGGCCTCACCCACTGCACAGGGGCTCAAGGCTCACAATGCTCTTGCACACTCCTGAAGTTAGCCACGTGCCCCGACCCACTCATTCTCTCCACTCTCACACAGCCTCACTGCGCCTGCCCACGCGGGACACACCTCCCTCACTAAGGCATTTGAGCCTCTAATTTCCAGCAGCCCACTCGCCTCCTTCCTCCTCCCACCCTCACGTCCCAGGTGAGCAAATGGCACCCGAATCAGAGGCAGCTGAGAACCAGGGACTGGGTGGGTAGAGGAGGGCCGTGTCAGCCCCCTCTCCACTGTCCCATTAATCACAACGTCGCGGTCCAGTTGGGAATCCCGGGGCCCAGTGCCACACGCGCCCCGCGGGACAATGGGATTATTTCTGGGGGGAGAGGCTGCCTCGGGCCGGGGCTCAGGCGGTGATGCCTCCTTCCCTCAACCCGTCCCTCGGCACCGAACAAGCGCCTGCGGCGCCCTGGGACGGGTGGCAAAGCGGAGGCCGGTGGCGCAAGGGTGGCAGGGCCTGACCGGCCTAATTCAATTAGCTGAGCGGCCGCCGCTTCTGCGCAACTCCGGGCCCGCGGGGGCTGAGCTCCCGGCAGCTGCTCTTTGTGAGCGGAGCCCATGCATATGGATACAGTCCCTCCCTTTGTGGCACGCCCCCCACTCTCGGCACCTGCGGCTCCCATCCCCACCCCCTTTCGGAGACTGGATGACCTAGGCCTCGTCGGAAAAGTTGAGAAATTATGTGGCTGCTCGTGAGCCCAATCAGTGTGAAGGGAGGGAGCAGGAAGGACGTGTGGAAAGGGGTGTGGAAAAGGCGGGTTCCTAGCGTGTGCGTACCTGTGCACGTGTGACCTGTAGGCTATGTGCGTGAAGGGAGAGGGTTTGTCTTGCATCTGTGCGGAGGGGGTGTGAGTGCGGCTGCGTGTGCCTGTGGGCACCCAGGGGCGGAGGTGGGCATCCGTGGGGGCCGCACTCAGGAATGTCTGAGTTTTGTGTGCACGGGCGAGTGTGGGTCAGGGAGTGGGTGTGAGAGGGTGTTGTGGCTGCTCCTGCACAGTGCCCGGAAAGCCCCAGCTGTTCAGTGTGCCTGCGCGTGGCCACCTGCACACGCGCGCGGGTCCATGTGCAGTCAGGACCCAGTGTGGAACACAGCACCCCCACTTCCCACCGCCGCCGCCGCGGGCCCTGCCGCAGCTGGGTCTCCCAGACCGCATTCGTTCCCCCCTTCCCCCCGCCCGTGCTTTTCTGACGGAGGAGGAGCTCGGAGAATTCATTTCAAAGCCGAACTCCAGCTCAGCCCGTTTAGTGGGAGGACGCTCCCCAGTCCACTAGGCTCACGGGACTGCCAGGCCCTCTCGTCCAGCGGCCGGTGGGGACCAGTACCTTCCCACGTACCCCTTGCGCCCCTGTAATTACCAGACCTATCCATGCCAAGGTGGCCCGGGCTCCCAGGGGCGACCTCTGAGACCTGAGACGGCCTTCCCCATCACAGCCCCGCTGAGAGTCCGGTATTGGGGCTCGAAGGTCTCCATTCGCCCTCCCTCTGCGGCCAAATCTATGCTCCCTGGGGCGAGGAATTGAGGAGAGAATTCTGGGAAGATGGGACCACTGCAGGCTCGCCGTGGTGGGGACAGCTCGCTCACCCTGGCTTTACTGTGGGGGCAGAGCTAGCCAACCCGCACAGCTGCGGACGTCCAGCCCTGGACCAGGGAGGGGGTCTGGTCAGCCGCATGCGCCCGCGGCAGGCAGTAGGGTGGTCCCTAGAAGACGGTGGGTGGTGGCCCGAGGCAGGCTAGTGCTCTCTCTGCTCCCTCTCCCGCACCCCGCTCAGGGTCCGGCTACCAAGGTGCCCTCTGCCACCCGGAATTCCTCAGACCGGGCAAGGACCTGCGGGGTGGCTGGGTAAGTCCAAAAATAGAGGCTAAGGATGGGAGGCTGGGCCCCACTGGGGCCCCCTGGTGGGAGGCCCACCTGGGGGTGCCCAAGGGGCTGTCCTGGAGCTGGCAGGGGGCGGCAGAGCTGTGGCATCTGACTTCCCCTGTGCCATCTCCAGCGCCGCTGTCCTACCCTTTTTCCTGCTTTGGAGTCCCCTCTCGGGATATAGTGGGTCAAGAGCACCCACGCTGGATGGTGGGGCCTGAGGGTCTTCCGGAGGGGGTTGGTCAGAGAGAGGCCGGAGGCCCTAGCTCGGCGCCCAGAGATGATGGGGCCAACAGCTTTCCTTAGTCAGAAGCTGAGAGGGGAAGACCTGGAGGGGAGGTCCAGACTTAAGAGACCCTATTGCTCAAGCAGGCCTTGGAGTGGGGTGGGAGGAGGAGAAGGCGCTGGCTCCTAAACCAGGTGACACTGAGGTATATCCTACATCAGAGAGTCTCTGCCCCCTGTCCCTCCATGTTCTACCCTCCAGTGATGGGAGATGTGTGCCTGTCTTGTCCAGTTGGAGAGGTCCTCCACTTTCCCTGGCCCCTCTCACTATAAGGACCAGGTGGGGACACCTGGGGCTGGCCTTGTACAACCCCTACTGCCCCCTCCCAGGCCTGATGAATCACTGAGTCGCGTGGGTGGAACCAGCTTGACCTGCTCACTCCCTCCTTCCCTGACCTAGGCTCCTGCAGAGAAGCACCCCCACCCCAGGGCTCTGGACAGGTGCGGTCCCCTTTACTGGACCTCTAAGTCCCTAAGTCACCAGCTGTGCCTGCCTCCTTCATGGAAGGGGAGACATCCTGCGCCTTTACTGAAGCAGGTGGGCAGAAATCTAGACCTCAGTGGTCCCACCACGGAACGCGTCATGTAACGTGTCCCCGCACATTCTCCGCCTGCTCCACCCTTTTCCTACTACATACCTACTGGGCAAACCCTGTTTCCCTCTTCCACACCCACAGGCCCACACACGGCTGTTTTCCTGACAACCACACTCGAAACCAAGACACTCCTTGCACGGTTGCACACCCACCAGCAGCAGTGCATATTATTATTATTGCAGTCACACTCTCACACACCAGTCAAGGGACACCCTCACACCAGCTGCACCTGTCCACCGTGGAGGAACAGTCTCAGAGACACACAATCACCCTGTCACAGAAAACACACATTCACCTGCATTCTCCCTGGCACACCATCCTTACACAGACAGACCCAGTTGAAAAACAGATGGAGACCCCGTCTCCCCCACACTCCTGCCGACATGCCTCTTGTTTGTGATGTACCCAACAGCCTCACACTGATACATAACGGACGCTCAGTACATATTTGGGTAAAAACACAAAAAACCAGATTTTAAAAATCATTCCTTAAAGACAAGCACAACTGCCCTCACCGTCAGGCACACTTCCACATGCAGCCCCCCTCATGGACACACAGCCCCACAGACACGAAGTAATTAAGTTATCATACACGCCCCTAAGCTAAAGGACAACCCCTGGCTCAGGGGTCTCTCCCAGAGGGGGAAGGGAGCAGTGTGGGATCCAGAGGGGCCTCCCCCTGTGGATGAGCCCTCCCTCTCCTCCTCCCCTGCCACAGCCTCAGCCCCAGCTGCTCCTCTTTTAATTGGAGGTGCTTCTTTATTCTGCATGCCTGGTGTGGGGGTGGGATGGCTGGTGCTGGAAGGGGGTGCTGTTACCAGGTGGCCTCAGGGCTGGACTCACCTAGATGCATAGGAAGATACTCCTGTAAGGCAAGGACCACATCTGTCTAGTTTGGTGTAGAGGAAGCAGCTTGTAATAAATGGAGTCAGAGAGGCAGCATTTGAGTCCCCTCTCTGTCCCTTTCCAGCTTTCAGTGCCTTGGTTTCTTCATCTGTGAAATGGAGACAACAAAAGCCACATCACGGGATGTTTGGAGGATGGGATGAGAAGGTAGCTAGGACTCTACTGGTGCTTTGTGAGTTGTGCCTCCTCCCCTCCCCTCCCCTTTCCTGACAGGACTAGTCCGCAAGGTAATGAAACACAGACTGCAATGAATCTAAGCCCTGAGTCTCCTCCTGCATTTCAGAAAACTTTCTGCACTGCAGCACTGTGCTCAGAAAACTCTGCTCCAGGGAGTGGTAGGGGCCAGAACCCAAGGAATCCTGGTGCGCTTGTTTTATCTTCTGAGGCAGAGAAGGGACTGAGGGGGTAGCCCTGCCCTCTGCCACCATCCCATTGGAAGACAAAAGCTGAGGTTGAGCTGGGCTCGAAGAACCCCAGCTGGGGGGAGGCCAGCAGCTCAGAACGGGATTGATACAAAAGTTGGCTCTGCTAAGCAGGAGAGGTTGTTGGGAAATCCAAAAGCAATGAGGCAGGCAGGCAGCAGTCAGGGCAGGGGGAAGGCAGGATGTCCGTGGGTTGCTGGATTCGGTGAGGAGAGCAGCCTGACAGTCTCGGTGGGCCCCTAGGTGGCTATGACCTCTGCCAAACTTAGCGTAGACCAGCAAGGATGAGGTCTCCTCCCAGGTTCCCTGGACAACTAGTGACAGAAGTGAGGCGTTCAAGAGATGAGTGAGGTGGATGCCCAAAGGGCTGGAACAGGCAGGGTTGAGAAGGCGCCTTAGGAGGGCAGAGAGGGAGGATGGGGGAGAGTTAGGAACACGGGAGGGGTTTCCGGCTGGAGAGTGACAAACAGAAGTTGTTTTGAAGATAAGGGTTTAGTTGCAGCAGGTAGAACTGTGGTTAGGCACAAATGTGACTTCTTGACTGAAAGGAGAAAGGCAGAGCAAGGCAGCTGGGACCTGGCCTCTAAGGAGGCTGAAGGGCCTCTCCTCGTCGTTCTCACCCTCTACAGGAAAACCAGTTCAGATTTTGGGATCCCAGCTTAATCCTCTGCTGTCTGAGGGACTTTGGGCAACTTTGTTCATCTCACTGAGTCTTGGGATTTGTTTCCACTTTTTAAACAATGAGATCTAATTCATGAACCATAATCTCAGCCCTTTAAATCACAAAGTCAGTGGCTTTTAGTATCTTCACAAAGTTGTGCAACCATCTAACTCCAAAATATTTTCATCTCTTCAAATAGAAACTTTGTGTTTATTTGCAGTCACTTCCCAGCCCCCCTCCCCTGCAGCTCCTGGCAATCCTCATCTACTATCTCTATAGATACGTCTATTCTGGATGGTTTATATAAATGAAATTATATACTATATCACCTTTTGTGCCTGGCTTCTTTCACTTAGCGTGGACGGAGGCATGTTGTCTAGGTTCTTTCATGTTGTCATGTGAACCAGGACTTCGTTTTTATTCCTTTTTCTGACTGAATAATATTCAATTGTATGGAGATACCACATTTTATTTACCCATTCATCAAAATTCTTCAATTTTTAAAACTTTTTGGCCATTATGAGTATTATGGCTATGAACATTCATTTTCTCAATTACTTAAAAATCGGGATGTTTCTATTAATTTCACAGGGTTTGGGGTCTTAAATGACATCAGTGTGATATGGTGCCTGGCACATAGTAGTTTCTCAGTAAAACACTTATGTCTATCTCTTTTTCAGTTCTTTCAACATAAGAGGCAGGAAAGAGTAGTTTTCAGGTTCAAATAACTTCCAGAGAAGGTTATGGAACCTTCTAAATTGGGTGGGTGGAGAGGCAGGAACCGGCAAGGGAGTGGGTTCTATCCTCATGTCTCTGTTTAGTGTCTAAAACAACCACATCTGGCTTTATATTGAATGGGCCCCTGTCCACCTGCCTGGAGCCCAGACAGGTTTTCTTTATAGAGACGCCCTTCCAATCAGCAGCCGGTGTCCAGCGTAACTCATAAAAGCAAGTGGAATCCAGGCCCACCATCGTGACCAAGTCACTTAGCCTCTCTGAGATTTGACTTCTTTGTGTCTATAAAACAGAGATAATACTCATCTCGAAGAGTTAGTGTAGGGTTTATAGTGTTCTCCATAAAACTTGTTATAATCTGCCTTATTGTATTTGCTTCTTCACATCCCCCCTATGGAATACAAGCTCCACAAGGGCAGGAATTTGTTCTCTTCACTGCCCTTTTCTCAATGCCAAGAACCATGCCTGGGCTCTGGCCAGGTAGCTCAGTGGGTTATAGCATTGTCCCGATATGCCAAGGTTGCAGGTTTGATCCTTGGTCAGGGCACATACAAGAATCAACCAATGAATGCATTAATTAGTAAGTGGAACAACAAACATCAATGTTTTTCTCTCTAAAATTAATAAAATTTTAACACCATGCCTGATGGGTAGTAGGTGCTCAAATAAACTTGTTGAATAAGGAGGTTTACTAATTTATTATTCATTCAAAGAGGTTTGGGGCTATACTCCACAGAGAGGAACAGAGGTGAATAAGTCATTTCTTGCCTCCAAGGAGATCTCTTCAAGTGGAATACCCGCCGTGGCGAAAGCAAATGCTACATCGCAGTGAGCGCTGGTGAGTAGACTGTGTGCCTTCCCACTCCAGTGCAGTGCCTGGCAGAGGGAGCACTGCTCTCAAGGCCTGCAGGGTCCAGAACGGACCAGAAATAGATCCCAAGTGACCCAACCTGCGCCCTTCCCAGAGCTTGGCTTCTGGGAGGGGTCACGCCGTTCCCTACTGCAGAGGGGAAAGAGGGGAAGCAGCGAAGGGAGTTTCCTCTTTCTCTCCTGGGCTCGAAGCCAGTTAGCCACAGGCAAAACTTTGAAGAGGCCTAAATTTGTCCAGGGTGCACTTCCCTCTTCTCGGTCCCACCGTCCCCAGCCCCCACTGCCTTAAGCCCCTAGGCCTCCCTCCCAAGATTCCAAAAGTAAGAAAATAACGCCCTCCCCTCACCACAGTCCAAAGGTGTTTTTGCTTGAAATAGCCCCCCTCCCCCGCCCGGCTTAGTTGCTATGTGAAAACAATCCGAACGAATTCATTTGGATACTGTGGTAACTGCTTCCTGAGACATCTGTTTGTTTGAAAGGAAAGGGGTATGTTGATGCACGGGCACCCTGGCAACAGGCCCCAAGCTAACTCCCTCGGCTGGTGCCTGCCTCTCAGAAAGCCTTCCCTTCCTCAGTTTCTCTAAACGGGCTGAGCTGGGGCCGTTGTTGGTTTCTTTCAACATACAGCCTGTTCACGGGCGTGTGTTTTAAAGAAGGGCAAGCCTGAACTCACCTTCCCTGCCTCAGGGGCCTGGGCTCCATACCTGGGGAGTAGACAGTCTTCTACTTTCTAACGAGCTGGACTTCACGTCTGGTGTAAATCCTCTGCTTGACGGACAGGTGTTTCCCCGCTGAGCCCTTGGGGAGATTCTCCAGTAGCGCTGGGACACCTCTTCCCCAGAGGCCGGTGGGCTGGACCCCTTTGGCCCAATTCAAAGTTAGGGGGCGGCTCCTGCCTGGCTGAGAGGAGGGATCTGACCACCAGCTCCGGAGTTAGCTCGTCTGTCTGTCGGTCTCTGGGAACGGCTGTCTCCTGTTCTTTTTCTTTCTCCTTTCAAATCTCTGTTTCCCCTCTTCCTGAAGTACTTCTCTGAGCCTCAGTCGCCGTCCTTCTGTCCCTGGCTCCTGCATCTGTCTCGGCTCCGGGCCTCTCACTCCGCGTCTCCGCCCCTCCCCCGCGCTGTCATTCACCCCGCTCTTCTCTGCGCACAGCCAATGGAGAGACCGGGTCGGAACGGCAAGGCTCGTTCGCACCGGGCTTTTTCGCCCGGTGATTGATGTCCCAGAGTCAACAGCTAGCAAGCAGCCGGAGAGGGGAAGGAGCAGCAGGAGAGGAGTAGAATACGTCGCCCCCTCTCCCCTTCCCCTCCCCCTACTTTAGCCCTTCTGCGCACTTCGCCTCCAAGTCTCCGCGCAGCCAGGAGCAGCTCCCGCCTTCGCGCCCCTGCGCCCCTGCGCTCTGCCCCCAGAGCGAAAAACAGCGAGCCCCGCCGCCCAGGCCCCCCCGCGGGGCCGGGGCCGGGGGCCAGCATGGATCACCTGGGTCCGCACCATCTCCACCCGGGCCATGCGGAGCCCATCAGCTTCGGCATCGACCAGATCCTCAACAGCCCGGACCAGAGCGGCTGTATGGGGCCAAACTCACGCCTCCAGGACGGAGAATACGGCCTTGGCTGTTTGGTCGGAGGCGCCTACCCTTACGGCGGCGGGGGACCAGTGGCCGGGGCGGGGGCTGGGGGCGCGGGGGCCTATGGAGCAGGCGGCCCGAGCGGTCCTGGCGGCCCGGCTGGCGGCGGGGGCGGCGCCTGCAGCATGGGCCCACTGGCCGGCTCCTACAACGTGAACATGGCCCTGGCGGGCGGCCCGGGTCCGGGCGGCGGCAGCGGCGGAGGGGCGCTGAGCGCTGCGGGGGTGATTCGGGTGCCAGCGCACAGGCCACTAGCTGGAGCAGTGGCCCACCCACAGCCTCTGGCTACCGGCTTGCCAACCGTGCCCTCCGTGCCTGCCGTGCCGGGCGTCAACAACCTCACCGGCCTCACCTTTCCCTGGATGGAGAGTAACCGCAGATACACAAAGGACAGGTTCACAGGTGAGTCCGGCCTGCACGCGCCCCGCCTGGCCGCGGCCCCAGCTCTGCGGCCCCTCTTCCTCCCCCCATCCCACGTGGCTCCCCGCTGCCCCCTTTGCGCGCCTAGTCCCCCAGCTCCTCTTGGTGCTTTCTCCAAATTTAGCAGCCTGCCACCTACCTATGCTCAAGGGATCGCCATGCTGAAAGAGTTCTCTCCCAGCCTGGGCTCCTCTGCGTCTCTTTCGAAGGACCCCTGGTCTGTGAAGCGCTCCCTGATCCCCTCTCAGAGTTCCTGGGACGGGTTAGGTGGAGGGAAGGGGGATGTAGCCTTGGGACTACATTCCGCCCGCATTTGGGGCTCGGCAATCTCGGAGAAGGGGCGCGATGTGAACAAACTACTTTTTCCGTCCTGACGTTCTCTGGCCGAAGCAGCGAGCCCCAGAATCAGACCAAGGAAAAATCAGGTTCCCCACCTCCTGCCCGCCCCCCAACACGCACACACACTCATACATTCCAAGCTCCGGTGCCCATTGCGCTGCCTGTCCAGCAGAGGCCAAGAGCCCCAGTGAAGCGGCAGAGCTGGTGGGCACTTCTCCGACTGCAGGATTTGTCTGGGTCGGTGGCGGCCTGAGGCTAAGCCACCCGCTTCATTTAGTTCTGTCCCGGCTTGGCGTCCTCCCTGCACCCAGTGCCCTGGGCCCTTCAGCGTAAATAATGCACGGACCAGGCCCACGATCGATTGGCCAGGCAAGGACGGCTCCTGGGACGATTACGTATTCCGAGGCGCCGGCTGCCGCGCTCTTCGGTGCCCGCCCTGCGCCTTCCTCCGCTGGCCTCGGCGCCCTCCGCTCCTGCTTCCGCTCGCAGCATTCGGCCCCCGCTCCTGTGCCGACCCTTTTCCTCCGGCTTCCCTTCCCGCTTCCCTTGGCGTTCCCTGGATCCTAGAACACCACCTCCCGCCGGGCCAGGCCCCCAGCCCGCTGGGAAGCAGCCACGAGTTGAGTCTGGGTTCCGGACCAAGCCTTCGGGAGAGGAAGCAGGCAGAACGGGCCGGGACTTCCGTGGGGCCCGGCTTCCAGTGTCCGACTGTGAGAGGGGGACAGGCAGCTTAGAGCGAGACCCTAAGCCGGGCGACCCGGAGGCACCGTAGGTCCCCTACTCCTGCTCCTGCTCCTGCTCCAACTGTGGAACCGTGGCTCACACTCTGGGTCGGTGGCAAAAGTTTAGGAAAGGGCACGCAGAGGTACAACAGCCGTTCCGCTTTGGGCCTCCTGGAAGGGCCCTGTACCCAAGGGGCCCCAGGGCCGCAGCCCAAGTTTTCTCAGGTCTGGGGAGTCGGAGCCTGGTGCCCATCCACCCAGCCCCAGGCCAGGCGAGTCCTGAAGGACTCTGATGGAACTCCCAGCCCGGAGCTCACTGGTCCTGGGGCTGGTGAAAGGCACTGAACACAGGGCCTACCTAGGGGCGCCACAACCCATGGAATCCTCCTCAGGCCTAAAGAAGGTCCAGAGGGAGGGTATGGCTGTTGCCTTGTGTCACTTTGTGTCGCCTCGTGTCCTGTGTGTGTCTGCCTGTGTGCCTGTGCGGCCGTGCAGATCTATAATTTGTCACTGTTGTGCCGAAGTGTCTGTGTATACTGCTGTGTGTCGGGGGCTCCGGTCAGCACCCAGGATCCAGGGTCTTAGCCAAGCATGGCCTCTTGCTGTTGGGCAGCTTCTCCAAGGCTGGAGACCTGGGGCTGTGGAGGGCTTTGACCTTTAGCTCTCCTCAGGGAGATTGAGGAGGCGACTGTGGCGGTGTCTTGTTGGGCACATGGGAGCCGGGGGCCAGGGAGGCCTCCATGGTGGCAGTGGCGGCGGCTTGGCGGCGGGAGGGGGTTGTTTCTCGCTCGGGCTTGGAGCTGAGGGCTTTCGGGAGGAGGATCGAGGCCCCGCTCGTGGGGTTTAGCCGCTACGCTCGCTGATTCGCGGGGTGCCGGGCCTGGGACACCTCCTGACGCTCTGCCGCTTGCCTCTGCCGTCTGTCTGTCTCCCGCTCCAGTGGCCCTCTCACCCTTCACTGTAACACGCCGTATAGGTCACCCCTATCAGAACCGGACGCCCCCCAAGAAGAAGAAGCCGCGCACGTCTTTCACGCGCCTGCAGATCTGCGAGCTGGAGAAGCGCTTCCACCGCCAGAAGTACCTGGCCTCGGCCGAGCGCGCCGCCCTGGCCAAGGCGCTCAAAATGACTGACGCGCAGGTCAAAACCTGGTTCCAGAACCGGCGGACAAAGTGGAGGTGAGCGCGTGGGGCGGGCGCGGCGTGGGCGCCGTGGGCGGCACAGCCTCTGCCGGCCACTCAAGGCTCCGGACCTCTCGGGGCCCTCACATTCCCTCTACTCCCGGTTTGCGATCTGTTCCAAGGGGCCAGCA